GTGTGTGCGTGTGTAACAATTCTTTCTGCATTCCAACATCTTATTTTTTCCTCAAATCATATGCCAGAAAAGAAACCAGCTTTCAGTACCATATATAGAATTACGCTACAAAAATAGAACTCACAGACGGCATTTATAAATATTCAAACTATTAATGCAGAAGATTATTACTTGGCGATATCATCATCCACCACTACAACTGTTTATAGGAATGACACAATATGATGACATGCAAAACCTATAAAATGAAACTGTGACTAAAATGTATATAATAAATTAGCAATAAAATTTCATTCTCATACGTCACAGCATCAGGGAAGGAAACGGGTAACTAACAGCCAAACTTTGCTTTTAAAAAAGCCTTGTTTTAACAATAACAGCTGACATAATGGCAAGAGCTCATGTTGTACTGGTTGAAATCATAGTTTCAAGAAAGAGATGATGTCATGCAACCATGTTTTTCAAGCTGATACAAGGGGTGCGATAAGGAGCAGCATATCCAATGCAATTTACAACTACACTTCCCAACCAGATTTCATTCTGTCTTTGTGTTGTGTATAATTATGGCAGCATTGTGCTGTTCTGTTGTACTTTTCATGCACATGATGAATAATTTGGCCAAATGGATACTGACCAACTTTACAGAGAAAGAGAGAATATTTTATATATCCTGTTCTGTCTGTATATATTCATACAGGACATATATGTTCTTGCTCACACAGCAAATCTTACTTTCACACACGACAAAGTTCAGTATCAACTGTACAGTATCAATTACATTGTTTTTGCAGGGAAAGAAAACCAGTTAAGCATGTTTAAGCAATGTTTTTCTGAGATATTTGAGCACCTGATTTTTGACGTCTTGTCCTTGATGAGGGGTTATGCTTCGGTGGGTTGCTGGGGAAAATCCACTGCAATATGGCATTTAAAATTGTCTTGGTATGTCCTGATAAGACTATTTCATATTTCTTAACCTGTCAATTATGCAGTGGAAAATAAATAAATTTTAAATGCGTTTTCTGCAGAAATATTTCTTTAGGCACAAAGGTACGCATGCCCTTTGTTATTCGTGTCTCCTACAAAGACTCGTTTTGATAGAGAGTGCACTAATGGATTTATCTATAGGAATATAGTTTGGCTTTGCAATGCCCTCTGGGAAATACTGGCAGCCCTGGTTTTGTCTTTGTTCCATCTAAGTGCTTAGCAAGTGTTATTGTTGGCTTGTTGTTCCGTTTCCCTCCCGTTTGAGGCCTGAGCTCTCTGCAGTGCCTCCATACAAATACTGAGGGCCCAGCCTTTGTGAGAACCACCATGAACTTCTGCCTAGAGAGGCACAAAACAGGTCTTAAATGACCAGCTGGTGTGCTTTATTTTGTCAGGTGACCATGAATATATGAAAAATATTGTATTGGATAACAGTGCTGCCAACTATTGGATAACCATGATGCAACCGAATTTGCTCCTGATGCGAACAATCATGTAAACCAATGCCATTTTGCAAGTGATTATAAATCATCATGTTTGGTTTATGACTCAAGGAATCATTCAACTGTTCTGCTGTAACCACACACACACACACACACACACACACACACACACACACACACACAAACTCCAGTTAGTTAGAACAAAATAGAGATATGACTAGTGGATAAAGCAATGTTCTTATCCTAAAATAGACATGATTTTTTTTTTCTTGTTCTTAATTTAATTTATTCTCTGTTGCTTAACCTATCAGCTTTAGGTATAAACATCTGTGCTCTGTTTTAGGAGTGGTTCTGTCTCTGTATGTTTATTTAAACACAGCTGCTGTTTAGGGAAAAGGACACTGACATCATAACCATGTTTGCCCAAATGGAACAAGCCAGAGGCCTATTTCACGTCATATAATTTTTCAAAATGATTGGAACAGTCATTCGGAAATGCAATAAACCAAATGTGTATTTAGAACAAATGGCTGCATCCAAAATGAGGCATAAGAGTGGAAATCTGTATTTATAAATTTTCATACTTCATAAAATAGATGTACTGTAAGAAGACATTTAAAGTGTAGCTATTCCACGCACAATGGGAAATGTACCAAGCACACACTGACATCTTGCGGTGTGTTATAGTAAAATGTCCTGCTGGGTTCTGGAGGTTTTATTTTGAATAGGGTTTTTATTTTTTTTTTGTATTTTACTAATTTATTTCGTTTGTTTATGTGGTACAAGTGCATTTTTGTATATCTATGCTTTGTTACTGTTGTTTTATTTTTTATTTTCTGGTGCTGAAAACCAATAAACAAACCTGAGGGAAAAATGTCCTGAAGCAAGCTGTTACTTTTCGTAAGGGCCATAAAGCATTTTTTTGTTTTGTTTTGTTTTGTTTTTAGCAATAAAATAACTGAAGCAACACAACTTACGTCACTCACATTAATAAATGTAATGTTGTAGATTCACATATTAATAGTCTATTATAGCTTTCTTGATTTTTTTCTTTCAGATATATTCCATATTATGAATGTCACACTGAATCTTGACTGAATTCTTACCGAACTCTAGATTAAATAATTTCGTTTTTGAACAAGGACACTGCATACAGAGGATTGAGAGCGTAGTAGATGATGGATAGACACCAGGGGTCACTATTGGCATTAATTTTTTCTCAAATACTTCGTAAGATTTATTTCTTACTCATTCACAACACCTGTTACTAATAATAATTAAAAATGTTAGCAATAGGAGGCGACAGAAAATACAACTGCATTCTATTGGGTAAAAATCTGATTCAAGTTAAATCAAAAGTAAATATTTGGTCACACTAGTTTGGGGACCAGTTGTCACTAACTATTACCTACAACTTTGCCTCAATAAACTCCTAATTTGCTGCTTATGAATAGTTAGCAAGGTAGTTGTTAATTTTAGGTAGTGGGGTAGGGTTAAGGGATCTAAAATATGGTCATGCAGAATTAGTCGTTAATATGTGTTTTGTAATTACCATGCTAGTAATATGCTTGCTAATAAGAAACTAGTTGCTTAAAAAAAGTTTATGAAAGAAAAAGTTATGTTACCAAAAATGTATATTTTCAAATGTAAATAATTATTTTCTGACAATAGGTTACAAAATAATGATTTTAATAATGATATATTATAAAAACTGACAAGTATGACCCAAGTCTATTAACTAAGCTTAGCTTTACTTAAGTAATTTACCAGCGGTAGGCTATGTACTTCTGCATTCATTGTTTTAGCATTGTTGTAAAATACTGTCCACATGGATCAGTGTTTCTATTCTGTGGACTGATGACGTTCTTTGTCACCTTTTGCATGGCACAAGTTCATTCATCTTTCAGCAAGTCAGTGTCGGACATCATCTGAGTGTTCAGTCTATACAGAAACTGCAATCTGCAGGGCAACATACTGCTAAAATCTGTTCAGATTGTGCACATGGGTCTTGGCAGTTCTGTATAGCCTGTAAATGACTTTAATGCTGCCGAGAAATGATACATTTTCAGGATTTATTTTTAGTTATAAGAACAAAGTGGCCAGTCATTACCACCACTACAGCTGTAATAAATCCAGCCGGGACAAACGTGGCACATCTGATCATGAGAGTGGTCAGCTATTTTGTTGTGACAACATTACCACTGTTTTCTTTACTAGTTACAATGATGTGGCACAAGTTATGGACAAGGTAAGCTGCGTAATTATAGACTTAATTGTGAACTAAACTGGTCTGACTGTTGGAGGGAGAATTTAGAAACAATAAAAGTCTATGCCAGATCCATAAATCTCAAGGTCCTTTGGCAGCCCATTTTGTCACAACAAAATGTTTTATGAAATTTGCTGAACATAGCTGTCAACAATATGTTATCAGAGCTTTGCTATAAGCTACTAGGATATGTTTGACTGCTCTGTTTACAATGTTTCTATCTATCTATCTATCTGTCTATCATCACCAGAGGTGGCATGTAAAAGATTACACTATTGCTATATATATATATATACAGTGGGTACGGAAAGTATGCTATCTGAAAAACTATGCGCAAGTGCACCTAGGTCAAAAGCTGCTTTAAACGCAAAGGATGGTCACACCAAATGTTGATTTAATTTAGTTAGTAGAAGTTAATTAATAAAGAAAATCTATTTATGACATTATTATTGACATCATCCTCATTTTACAGCATTTTACACAAGTGCCTAAAACTTTTAAGAGTACTGTAGCTTTAAAAAATGCTGGGTTAAATACAACCTAGCATTGGGTATATGGACAAACCCAGCGATTGGGTTGTTTTGATCCAGCATTTGGGTTACAACCCAGAAGGTTGTGTTAAACATTTAACCCAAACGCTGGGTCAAAAGAACCCAATCGCTTGTCCATATTTTACCCAGTAAATAAAATGTTTTACCCATTTTGTAGAGTTTGGTTTATTGAAGCATCTTGGAGACGTTGCCACAGTTCTTCTGGAGTCTGTCTCAGTTTCTTCAGTTTCTTCATGTAATTCCAGACAGACTGGATGATGAGGAGATCAGATCTCTGTGTGGAGCACTGGCTGTTGTCAGACTCCTTGTGCAAACAAAAATCTTACTGGATTATTACAATTAATGGCAAAATGAATGTATGGAAATGCAAACTGATATTTCCTACTGACACACTACAGCAAAAGATATAAATAACAGACTTAAAACACAATTTTTTTAGCTGGTGAAAATACTAGTGTTCTAATAACTTTGGTCACCACTGCCTATATAAAGTAACAAATAAAACAAATAGGCAAATAGATTGCATAGAATAATAGGCTATTCAAAGGGAATGAATAGATGTTTAGAAAATGTTTTAAAAATAGGATATTTAGAAAATATGTTCATGCGAATCCAAATCTGTCTATTTCTGATTATCAAAAAAAAATAAAAATAAATAAAACTTATCGTTCGCCCACATAAAATGTGAAACGATGTGAATGTGGTAGCAGCCTACAACGCGAGGGCGGGCTTGTAGAACTGACGTCATCAGCAGGGTGTCTCTCGCCCGGCTTTGGGCTCCTGTCTCCTCTCTCTCTCTACCTCCCTGTGAAGCGAACAGGGGGGAGAGGATCATAAAAAAAGCCAGGAACGGCGATAGTGACAGCGCCTGCGGCTCCGGCGCCTGTGCGCGATCTTCCCTCTCACTCACCAACAAACCCTCGCACCAATGCGCGCCCTCAGCCATCTCCAGCAGACACCACCGCATCACAGCACTGCACCCGCGGTCTGAAATTCACCCCCGCTCCCTTTATTGTTGTAGTTGTTGAGCATCCGACATACGAGCAGCCATCGAGACGCAAACACTTTCAATTCAATCCTTCATCTGAATGACGGGCGGACGGTTCGACTTCGACGATGGCGGCACTTTCTGCGGTGGATGGGAGGACGGAAAAGCCCACGGACACGGCATTTGCACCGGCCCCAAGGGCCAGGGCGAATACTCCGGGTCCTGGTCCAACGGGTTTGAGGTAGTTGGTGTGTACACCTGGCCCAGTGGAAATGCATACAAGGGCTACTGGGCACAGGGGAAACGGCACGGGCTTGGCGTGGAGTTCAAGGGGAGGTGGCTGTACCGCGGGGAGTGGAGTCAAGGATTTAAGGGTCGGTATGGGGTTCGCCAGAGTCTCAATACACCTGCCAGGTATGAAGGCACATGGAGTAATGGACTGCAAGATGGATATGGGGTCGAGACGTACGGAGATGGGGGTGAGTTCAGCCAAACATCGCTTTACCTATTTAATGTTCTTTAAAGTCTTGCGTGTTTGTGATGCTGCTGCCGAGTGAAATCGGGTCTCTGTTTTGTAATATATCATTATAAAATTAAGGCCTCTTATGTAGAATATAATAAGGATTCTTTTTTTCCTTCCATTTTTGTGGAAGATCAAACAAAACTGCGTCTTGAAGCGCCTGGGTTATTTCTGGTGCCTAGATTTTGCCCCTAAATCATGGTCTGCAGATTTATGAAGCAGTTTGTCCATGCAGTTGAGTTGATGTATGGCATATAACTGGACTGGTCAGCAGAAGTTGCTCACAGAGGTCAAGGCTAATAATAGTTACATCTGCAACATGTCAAATCAAAGCTCTTCTAGCAGACAAGCATACTTGTCTCAGCTTATTTCTTTTGCGAGCAGCATTTGTGATATATGTGAAAATTCTGTGCTGTCACTTCATTCGATGGAAGTTAAATTGTAAAATGGACATATTTAAAAATGTGTAGAATTGTCCACCTGTTAATTTAATTCACTATTTCGTGCCTGTCATTATTTACTCACCCATGTCGAACCAAACCTGTATAAATGTCTTTCTTCTGCTGAACACAGAAGATATTTTGAAAAATATTCGAAAATGTGTGTAATGCAGACATTTGATGGTAGCCATTGACTTACATAGTATTTTTTCCATGCTGTGGAAGTCAATGGCTACCATCAACATTCTTCAAAATATCTTCTTTTGTGTTCAACAGAACAAATAAAGTCATAAAGGTTTGGAACAACCCGAGGGTGAGTAATGACAAGATTTTCATTTCTGAGTGAACTGTCTGTCACTTTAAAATACAGTGACCATGTTAAAAAAATATTAAAAGTGACATTTTGGTGCCTATCTATTTTACAGTTTATAAGCATACTTTATACATAATGTTAGGGCTGCACGATTATGACAAAAATCATAATTGTCGATTATTCCCTTGAAATTGATTGCGATTATTAATTACGATTATCACAATTTACATTGAATGATGTTTATACCATTGTTTGATGCAACTGCATGCCGTATTTTTATATGAAAATAAACAAGCTGAAAACTCTCTAACTGAAAAACCTTTAGTGCTTTTCTATAGTATTAAGCCTCAAATGTCAACTATACCTCGGATTGGTTTCTTCTTTAAATAAAAAAAAAAAGTAAAAATATGAATGGTATTATAATGTTATACTAAAACTAAAACTAAAACAATGGAAAAATCCTTAAGATAACATGTAGAAAGAAAAAAGCATATCTTAAGCGTGCAGAATAACATAAGTGGACTTTGAAAGATTAATTGCTGCTTTGAAAGATTACGTAATTGTGGCATCCATAATTGTAATCGCGATTAGAAATTTGATTAATTGTGCAGCCCTACATAATTTATTAATATAATATTAATATACAAACGTACTTAAATGTACTTTTGTACCAGTGGTAAAATAGAAGGCCACAAGGTGCATTAAAATGAATAAAAATAATTCTATTAAGTAATCAACATAGGAGCCATATGAATTATGAGACAGCAAAAGCATAATTTTAGCACTAATTTGTGGAAAAATGTAAATGTGTTGCCTCCAATATATATCTTTTATTATCTTTTATTAAATGTAACTAAATTACATGATTAAGTGATTAAACAGCATTACTATTCAAATAACTTTTAGATTGCATAGTGATATATTATTAAGTCTTTTAAGAAGAAATTTAAATCCAAGGTAAATTAATATTTGGCAAGGAACATGAAGTTCTCTTGAAATGTGGTGGCGTCAGAGAGTTGGGCCTACTGTTGAATTTATGAGGCAGGGTCACACATTACCGCTTACTCATAACTCACTTTCATCTTCTGCAAAGAATCCTGAAAATAGTGTTATAGCTCAGCTGGACTGCTGAGACGCTCTGTATATCATAAGTCACTTCCATTGTGCCTCTTTACCTATAATTGGAATATTAGCTTATTAGCATTACTGCTGTAGAGGCAATGGCATACACAGAATCAAAAGGAATGAGTGGATAAATAGGTAAATAAATAAGAGTTATGGTTGGCTGGAGTCACAAACTTTACAATGGCTCAGATTACTTCCATGTTTTAAAATAGTGCTGGCTCTGCTGTAGAAGCTGTTAGGTCTGACAGGCCAGCATATGAGATATAGGAGGGAGAGCTGTTCACTTCGTCACTTCAGCGTCATAATGTGGATTGGATTATACCTGTATATTACTAGCCTGACAATAATTTATGTAGTTATAGTCTGCATGTTATTTTATTTATGCATTTTAGCACTTTGGATATTTCCTGAAAGTGAGATTAAAAACTTTTCACCTAGATGGGGACCAAGTTGGCACTAAGGCTATATCTACTGTATATTGCCTTTTATCGGTATCAATAATTTTGAAAGAAATGAATAAAAGTGAGAGTAAAGACATTTACAATGTTACAAAAGATTTCTATTTCAAATAAATGCTGTTCTTTTGTTTATCAAAGAATCATGGTTTACACAAAAATATTAAGCAGCACAACTGTTTCAACATCATTAATAATAATAAGAAATGTTTATTGAGCACCAAATCAGCATTTTTGAATGATTTCTGAAGGAATCATGTGACACTATAGACTGGAGTAATGACTGCTGAAAATTCAGCCTTGCTATTTACATTAATAAATAACATTTATAAAATAAAAAACTGTTATTTTAAATTGCAATAATATTTCACAATATTTCTGTTTTTATTGTATTTTTAATCACATCAATGCAGCGTTCTTTCACAAACTTTCAAAAATCTTTCAAAGTCAAATCCTACCAACCCAAAACATTCGAACAGTATTATGTTTTGAAAGATTATAATCATGGTTGCTGATGGTAACTTGTCTTTATTCTTGAATTCAGACAATAAAAGATATTTGGGTAATATTTAAGAGGCTCTTTGATTAATGATACTGTTTTCGGTATTCATGGAATACAAAAAATAAACATTAATTAATGAATTGATTAATTGAATATGATTAATTAATAGCTTATTTTAATAATCTATTTATTATAATAATTTGAATGAATTCATCATTTAATCTATTGTGACCCTTCAATAAAAAATTCTAAACATTGCTTAAAAAACATCAAAGCACCCAGACATGTCAGTTCCTCTGGTGTTTTCTTTTGTGTGTAATCCCTGTATTATGTGTTATGCAATATCTAGACTAAAGTCTCTCTAATCCCTTTGCCAGGTACGTACCAGGGCCAGTGGATGGGCGGCATGCGACACGGCTATGGCGTACGTCAGAGCGTGCCTTACGGCATGGCCACTGTCATCCGCTCCCCGCTGCGCACCTCACTGGCCTCCCTCCGCAGCGAGCAGAGTAACGGCTCCATTCTTCACGACCACATGTCCGACAGCCCTGCTGGCACCCGGGGTGGCTTCGTTCTGAACTTCCACAGTGACAGCGAAGTGGGCTCCAGCAAAAAAAAGGGCCTTTTCAGACGGGGTTCGCTGTTCGGGAGCCTCAAGCAGCTGAGGAAGTCAGACTCCCGTTCTTCCATATCCAGCAAACGCAGTTCGGCACGAAGCGACGCCACCATGAGCCGCATCAGCTCTAGCGACGCAAACTCCACCATTAGTTTTGGCGATGGAGAAGTGGCTGACGAGTACATGCCGGCTGAGGACAATGTCGATGCCACCACCACCGAGTCGTACATGGGCGAGTGGAAGAATGACAGGCGGAATGGTTTCGGTGTCAGCGAGCGCTCCAATGGGATGAAATACGAAGGCGAGTGGATAAACAACAAACGCCACGGCTACGGGTGCACGATATTCCCTGATGGGACGAAAGACGAGGGAAAGTACAAAAATAACGTTTTGGTGCGTGGCATCAAGAAGCAGCTTATTCCCCTCAAGAACACCAAGACGAAGCAGAAAGTGGACCGTGCCGTTGAAGGAGCCATAAGAGCGTCTGCCATTGCCCGAACAAAAGTAGAAATTGCCACCTCAAGGTTAATACTTCCTCTAGATCAATCCTACACCACATGATCAATTGCATCTGAAGGGCATAATTGCAACACCATTTTATCTCACTCTCTTTCTTTCTCTATCTTGTAAGTTTCTTCATCTAACCATCGCAGTATTGCTCACAATATTTAATTCCTCCAACCAACATAGCATCTGCATGCTGTATCCCAAGCTGTAGAGGAGTTGAAGGCTGCTCATTCGCCCTCATGTGAATGAGTGAACCGCGGCAGGGAGGTGACCAGGCAAACAGCTATTGTGCAGAAGAGCCCCGTTGAATAGTCTGTTTGCATGAGTGCCATCACATGCCCCCCGGCCATAGCTCTCATACTGATCACATAATCAATGCAGGGCCAACAGGATGTGCTGAATGAAGTCACAGAGGAATCGGGGTGCCAACGTTTATAATCATTTAAACATTTTTATTGGAGAAACGGCATGGTATTTTTATGTATTGCTGGCCATTATGACAATTAAAAGGGCTATACGTTCCTAAGAGAAGTTAAGCATAGATGTAATTTGCTCAGAGGAGATACTTATGTAACTTTGGTGGTATATGTAAATCAAACGGCAAATGCATTTTCAAAGCCAAAGCTGTTTCATTACTCTGGGATTGAATTACTGTCAGTTCTTTTTATATGTGTTATACATAACACATAATTATCGATTAAGTCACACATGGAATGGTGGAGTAAATGCCTGATATTGTTTTCTAAACACAACGTGTTTTCCCCCTCCTGAAAACCACTAAAACTTATTTTCTTAACTCTTGTAATTCATCAGCACAGCTGGCTAAAGGCACACATCGATTTTTGCAAGTTGAAGCAGGTTGTGTAGATCAGTGTGTTAAACAGGGACTCAATAATGTTGTGTGAGCTGAGTGCTACCGCTGATTCATGTAAGGACATGTGAGCTTATATGCTAGCGCTAGTGCTGGTGTAGGAGAAGTTTCTCACTTGCTTAGTATTAATGCTCCTTCAGTTTAAGACACGCATTTAGTTATTCATTTTTGTTCTTTTCCTTAGACCTTTTTTCCTCTCATCAACGTGCATTGGTGAGTAGTTAGGATGAAAATATTATGCTTAAAGGGACAGTTCACCCTAAAATTAAACTTTTCATCATCATTTACTCATCCTCATGTTGTCCCAAACTTCAGTGGAACACAACATTTTGAATGTATATATTAATATAGAATATCCTGCCAACTATTTGAGGATTGAGGCTTGCTCAAAATGACAACAACAACAAAAAAAAAACATCAGAAAAATGGTTTATATGACTTGCATGCTGAAAATCTTTATGTTCACCCCAGCTTTAATGAGTTTAGTAGTGATATCAGATTTGAAAGCTTCATCTGAATCATTTTTACATTCTTTTTAAAGCTTAGTCCGGTCCTAATTCCTTGTAATTTCAGGAGACACCTCCTTACACCATTATGCTTCCTTTTGTGTTCTATGAAAGAAAGAAAGTAAACTGAAATGTAAATAATGACAGAGTATTCATTTTTTGGTTGAACTGTTCCTTTAGTGATTCTTTATTGTGTTTTTCATGTGCAGGTTTATGTATTTAGGGCTTTTTACTTCGGAAGCATTTTGCTTTGCTCTATTAATGCAGTTATTTAGTTCTTTCTGTCAGCACAAAAACCGTGTCCTTGTCCTGTTCATTCATAACCATGTGCTTCTTTCTGATAGCTGAAAGAGTATGAATTTTAATGAAAGCTGCTATAATGAGCTTGCACAGTCCATGTAGCTAATGAAATAGTAATATGTTCCAGAGCTGCTGGATGAATTAAATATCCCTCAGTGCCTTTGAAGATTGTCACGCAGAGAAGTGATAAGCAATGTGAGGGTTCAGGGAATGTGTGGAGAGTCTGAGAAGGCTTTGGATTGCCTTGAAGGAGTCTTGAAAAAATAGCGTGAGAGAGAGATGGGGTGGGGGTTCTCAGGCCTGTGCTCTCTCACACATGTGTGCACTGTGTGTCAGCACTGAGCCTGACTAAATAAGGCAAGACAGGAGTTGGCTTCTCAATCGCTGACAAGAATATAGTCTTGGAGCTGTCACTGATACAGTAGCCAGTCTGCGTCCTGTTATCATCTGTTAGAGCACTCAGGTTTAGAGCTGCGTGTATGTGTGCACGTTTATCCTGTCAGCACTGACTTTCTTTTTACCATGGTAATCATAATTCCTGCCAAAATATTAGAATTGCTACAATTACTGTAGATTATAAATGGGATCTCTGTACAAGAATTTCTTTGTCATTTTATTTAATGCTTTCTTGAGGAGACTGTAGAAAGTAACTATGATACTTTGGTGGAAACTTTTTTTGTAAAAAGTTGACATTTTTTGTAAAAAGTTGATTTCATATGTGAGATTTATGTGTCCTGCCTATCTGGTCAAGGCTTTAATGGATAGGATTACCTGAACAGATTAACCATCTTTCTTAATCTTCTGTTTGTCCTCAACAACAGTTTATGTAGAGGGTTGTTTCTTCTATGGTAATCTACTTTATACGCTGCGTTTTGTAGTGATTTGTTGATTGCAAAATACTTTAATGCTAACACGTTTCCATAGGCATACTTACTTTTATTTGACTTATTAGTCCCCAAATTATATATTTGGGGTTCATCCATTATTCCTGTCCATTTGATGTGTTTTAGGGCTGTCGATCAATGTTTTACCATTAATTTATTACATTTAATTAATTAATTTAATTAAATACACTACCAGTCAAAACTTTGGGATCAGTAAGATTTTTTAAATATTTTTTAAATAAGTCTCATATGCTCACCAAGGCTGCATTTATTTGATCAAAAATATAGTAATAAGAGTAATACTGTGAAGTTTTCTATTTTAATATTTTTGAAAATGGGATTATATTCCAGTGATGGCAAAGTCGTTTCTCCAGTCTTCAGTGTCAAATGATCCTCCAGAAATCATTCCAATATGCTGATTTAGTTCTCAAGAAACATTTATTATTATCATCAATTTTAAAAACAGTTGTGCTGATTAATATTTTTGAGGAAACTGGGATTTCTTTTTTTCAGGATTCTTTGATGAGTAGAAAGTTCAAAAGAAAACTTACTTACCCCCAAACTTTTGAACAGTAGTGTATGTTGAACGCAGTTTAATAATGTTACCACATTTATTCAATTTCATTCTGTTCTGTGGTTTCTAAAAAATAATCAGAGCATTTTGAGCTGATTGAAACTGATCAGGGGTGCATTTCCCAAAAGCAACTATACAGTCACAATTCTGTCATTATCATTAGAGTTCAGCGGAACTTGTGACCATAGTTGGCTAACAGTGCTTTTGGGAAACGCACCCAAAAGTCCACAGCACAGCAAGCATTTCTCAGTAATTGCAGAAAAACATGTTTTTTTTTCACAAATCAGACATAAACTAGACTTTACCCAAGAGTCATTAACTTCTTTGAATTGAATTATAACTGAAGTGAAATATCACACACCAGTGAAATGATGTCTGTTATTCATAGACATGTTAATGCAAACAGTCCATTAGAGGGCTGCAGGCCAGTGAAAAAAAAAAACGTCTTACACATCACAGATTTCCTATTTCACTGCTTTGTGTTGTTTCATTTAGAGAAATATGGAATTTGAACTAAAGAAAAATATGAGATTAATCATGCTTAAATATTTTTAATGATTTGCAGCCCTAGAATGTTTATATAGTTATCAGTGTAGTCCGACATATCACTGAAAACATTATATAAACTAGCAGCGTAAGAATACGTACAGAAATATACATTTGTTCAGGCTAACTGGACAGATCAGAATCAAGTTGCTGTGGGCTCAAGCAGGGAGGATGTGCTCCTCTTCACATCTTTATCTGAGCTCTTGTGTGTGATAGAGTGGGCGAATGTGAGGAGACACTGCCAAATTAAAACCCTCAGAATTTCTGCAAGTGCTCCATCTGTCGCCTAGGAGATGTTCTTTGGCTCAGACTCCAAAGAATATCACATTAGGTCCATTAACGCCTAGGGAAGGTGCTGCTTATTACTTGGCTGACAAATAGTATGTAGATGCTCTCTTAATATTGTGTTAATATTATATATGCCATTGCCTTGTGTGTTTAGAGGAGCCATGCTTGTAGTTGATTTTAACCATTGTATTATGTTCGATTTCTGGGTACGATTTTGATGGAGCAGGTCAAATTGACCCTAATTGCCTTCAATGCAATTCCCTAAATATCACATTATTAAAAACAAGACGGAATCAGGTATGAACAGAAAAATTTTAATATCAGTATTTGTCACACAGTGCAAAAAATTAATATCAAAAAGGACCCTAATTGCCTTCAATGCAATTCCCTAAATATCACATTATTAAAAACAAGACGGAATCAGTTATGAACAGAAAAATTTTAATATCAGTATTTGCCACACAGTGCAAAAAATTAATATCAAAAAGTATGATTTTTAGAAATGTGTTTAACCACATTTTTAACCCCTTAACTGTTACCGTCCCGCTGGTGGAGTTTACTTCTATATTACTATATTCTATACTACTATATTACAGTTAAATCCTAATCTAATCATGACAAACTATATCGTTGGAAAGGTCTAAGACTCTTAAATGGATATTTTATCACTGTTTTTGTTACAAATTATGTAAGAACAGTAATAGATTAAGTTATGACAAGAGTGCACCTCAAAACATATACTACATCATAATAGGAGTTCATTTTTTCCTATCACGTTTTAGTAATCATCATAAATTATATATCATTTGAAAGCTTAAAACCTCAAAATTCATCCTGTGAAAACCATTTTGAAATTGGACATTGCGTTACCAAGGAAATTAATGGTACTTTAAAATATTTTAGTGGGCTCCTCCCCCTTAGTGGGGGGTCATTTTACAAAATGTATTACGGTCGTTTTTGTTACAAATTATGTAGGAACAGTAATATATTAATTTATTACAAGAGAGCACCTCAAAACATATACTTCATCATAATAGGAGTTCTGACC